CTGGCCTGAGTGTGCCTGGGACCATTTTTGACTGTTTCAGACCGCCCAAGGGATAGTCATGGCCCGAACCATTTTGTAGGAAAACATCGTTTTTTTAGAGTTAGAAAAAAAAAAATGAAAACAGCAGATACGGCAGCTGGTTCTGGATGGTTCGTTGTTGGACCGTGAGGTGAAAGGGAGCTCGTTGCTTTCTCACTTCTGTGTCGGGGGTTCCCCCTAACTTATACTTCACCCGAGGTATTGTACGGTACTCGTATCCCCTAGCCAAGAATGGGGGACTCTTTTGGAATAGTTCTAGCGGGCCCACAAAAAGGATAATAGTGTTGACTGTGCTTTCTCACTGAGGACTGAACTCAATTACCGTGCACTACCACCAGATGGGGTGGGAAATCTCACAAACCTCAACACCAAAATTTCCAACCATGGGCTGAATGACTCCGATGGGTATTAAACCTCTCATTATCTCCACAGCGGCACACATCACCACCACGCAACGGGGGGGGTCTATTTTTCTAACCCAAGAAACTCCTTGAGAACCCCCAGCTCCAACCCACCATAAGCATGCCTGCGGCAGTCCCTCCCCTTACAACAAAACTGGGCGGAAAGGATCCCGCTCGAAAGTTCCCCTCTAAATCCACCGCCCAAGTCCTCGTGGAGCCTAGGCTGTTATAAATAACTAACTACCGGATACCTGCTCAGAAGGACGCCCAATGAGTATTTCACCAAAAATTAATTTTCGGCGAGGCAGCGGGGTTCGGAGGTGGGTTGAATAAAACTGATGGTGAGTCTTCCCACGGCAACTGTGGGGGAGCAGGGATCCCTATCAGGGACATTTGAGACACCTGTCGTCGCTCTTGAGGAGAGGGAGAAGCGAGAAAAATATCTTCCGCCATGGCAAGACTAGGATGTTGAAATGCCCACCGTCTTACTCGCTAATCTAGGTTGGCTGCATAAGCTTCATGACACCGGGGTTGAAGACCTCATTAGAGGGCAGCGGTATTCTCCACAGCCGCGGAGGTAGTTTGAAAGGATTTATCCGGTATCAGAGGGGGCTGTTGGCAGTCCGGGTAGGAAGTGGGCGAGGTTGCACGGTACACGTGCGGAGAGAAGTGATCAAAACACGGGCGAGGTGTGAGGAGAGGTGGGAGGTGGGGGGCCAGGATACGGCGAGGTTTGCCCTAAGTCTTGAGATTCCAAGGAGCATTACTGGCTTGACACTTAAAGTTCTAGGGAGGTTGCGACCGGGAAATTTGACCTTGGTGAGGTTGGCGGACGGTAACAGTACTCGTGGTGGTTTGGTACACCTTCCACTCTCCTTCCGTTAAGCATTAAGCGATTAACTAGCCGCTAGTCAATGACATCAACCCTCTACCTCCACCCCCATCACCCCCTCCTCCTCACAGGCCCCGACTCCACCCATCTGGCTCAAGCATAATTCCCACCACTAGGCAGTGGTACTTCCACATCTGGAATTTCTCTACAGGAACTCTCCAGAAAGTGACCCGGATATTGTGTCATGCGGAGGGATAGAGGCCAATGCAGACCTTCCGGATCTCCGGGATGGAAAATTCATGGCTCTCGCCCCCGATCACGGATCCGTCCGCATTTTGAACGCAATAACATACTAATAAGCTTGCACCGCAAATACCGAAGGACGGGTCGCACACCAGTCTTGGTGGGCGACAGTGAATACATGACGATGCGGAGTAAGGTGGGTAGGGTATGGGGATTCGGCGTACTCTGGGAAATCGCAGCTGAACACCGGGAAGACGAGGGCGGGCAACTAGCCGCGGTCCCCAGGAACACCGGGACCGGGCGGATTGCCACCTGAAGTCAGGATAGGATCATAAATATATATGATCACGCCAGCAGCTTTGGTGGCGGTGGGAATGACTTCTTCCCGACCCAGCAGATATATGTAGCACTTACCAAGCTGTCATTTGAGTCGGTTCGGTCTGGGGGGTTGCCTGCGTCGTTCGGGGTGCTTTGGGCTCGGGTCTTCCCCGTGCCCTCCAGGCCGCCTTCTTGAAGATTGTTCAGAGAGAAACAGAGGACCTTGGTCGACAGCTGAAACCAAGGGAAATTCAAACCCTTTATGAAGCAGAATATCACCTCAAGTCTATTCCCCGAATCTCTTGAATTGAATACGGGTTCCCTACCGATCTCTCAGCTCTCCAAACCCAGCCATAGGCAAGAAATCCGCAAATTCTAAGAGGACATTCCATGGTATTGTTTCCGTGGATGGCCGGGAGCCGTCTATCAGGAGTGTTCGCAATTGGCCGACCTCCGGGACCCCTGATGCGCTCCGCATTGTTGAAGTTGGCCTTGACCCCCCGGCCCACAAGGAGCACGCAACCGGCTACGGAGACGGTGGGAAGGCAGCAACCTTCATTGAGCTCGACATCTCCGGTATCAATCTAAATAAGGAGCAAAGAGTCAGGGGCATCGGTATCCATGATAGTACAGCACAGGCAAGTTCGATAGCGATCTTACCTGCAGCGAGCAAAGTGAGTTTAATGCATGATGAAACACCTGTATCGTGGTTTTATTAATACTGTTTTGCCCAAGGCACTCTCGAGTCCCCCGGGTACGCACCAGCCTATGGCGAGCTTGGCCGCTCGGTTGACAACCCTGAAACAGCCTGGTATTGTGAATATTAATGGGCCGGTGGAAGCCTGAGGGGATGTGAGTTTATTGGGACCAAGAGAGATTTAAAAATTGGATACATAAAACTACTAACGCGAAGCGGGCAGGGTATGATGGGGCAGGTTAGCGAAAGTCTCCTCCTTTCTCCCCCTTGTTTGAGTGGTTGGGGGGGGGGGGGGGTGCATGTCCTCTATGTTGCTGTGTTTAGGCTTGCGAGAAATTAAGAGTGATCACCACCCTCTTGCAAACATAATGTTTTATCGTACGATGATGTCCAAGACCCCTGGATATCGCGACGGTCCATAACCTGCCCCCATAACCGAAGTTAAGCGTTGCTGTGTATTATGAGTTACACAGTGTACATGCTGAATGCTCGTATCAACTTGTCGAACTATGAAAGAATATAGCAAAAATGTTTCCCCATTATTCGGGGCAGAGATTGGTGTGGATGTCAAACTTGAGATCATGCAGTCGCACTTGCCCCTGTGATGATACCATTTGTTGTATCATACAAGTTATTAAGCCCACAAAGTTGATTGTTGTACAAATTTATCGTTGCACGCAATAAACTTATTGTTGAGCTGTTATTATTGTTGAGCTGTGGGGCACTCCCTAGGAGTGCCCTCGTTGTTCGAAGGTCGCTTAGGGCCCGTTTGGCTACAACAGTCCCGTTCCCTTCGCCCATACAAAACGAGCGTTCGTGAGCGGAACCGTAAGGCAATTTGTATGGGCGAACGGAACTGAATAGTAGCAGCCAAACAGGCCCTTAGCATCTCTCGAAGTGACGGGAACCTTGGGACGGCTGCCAGTTGATTCGCCGCGAGTAAGTTATCATATCTGTATGATACTACTAGTGTTAATCTGCTTGCCAGATCTGGTTCCGCTTGCTTACCCAGGGTGGCTATAGGGCAAAGCCGGTGCAACGTTTCCATTGAGCGAGTACCGGTATGGTTCCGGACAATGGAAATCACCCCCTGTGTTAATTTTGAGAAGCTTAGTAAGCTGCCAAGACATGCGAGTGATAATATATGATTATGAATATGGTATTGTGTTCGGTGATATCATAGGTATAGAATCAAGGATTGGTTATATTAATATGTTATTCCTTATATGAGATTATAAATTAAAGTTAATTTTTTTTCAAAGGTGGTGGATTTAGGGTAAGGTAGTGATTACATATAGGGCTGAGGGTTACATGTTGCATTGAGCAAGGTGTATGTTTTAAGTGTATGGCACCATATTTATATGTAAATACCATGCCCTAAACTTGAAGGTTGGTTAGAAATTGAGAAGTACATCTGAGCTGATCATTTGAAAGTTACTGGCTAGAAAAGAAGAGGAAATAAAAAGAATATCAATACAGAACATTCATTGGAAGAATATTAGAACAAAAATAAACTCAGATATCTTCACTCAAGAAATAAGTACATCTGTGAGATTTATAACTATTTACAAAACCATTAAATTCAGGTGTACCAAAATGGTATCCACCATGTAGATTTTTGGATGCTGCCTTATACCATCACAGAGAAACTGTCTTCTTCTCTACTGCTGGGTCATGCTCAACTTCTTCTTTATCTGATTCTTCATTGCTTGCTGAATCAGTCGGAATATCACTTTCAAAAGAGAAAACAGAGTCGGGACTATCAGAGTCAGTAAAACTAGCAAAATGAAGCACAACATCTGAATCAGAATGAGTTTGCTCGCTTTGGTGTTGTTTGATCTCTCTTGCGATACGTATCTGTGCTTTTCGCTTTCGGCTTGCAGACATTGTTGACTCTCAAGTTATAGGAGGTTGGTTTTCAATTTTCGGCCTTTTTTTTTTTGTTTATTATGTATTTTTTATTTTTCACTATGGTTTTATAATTGTACCCTAATTCTTTAGCCCTACCATCATGTAATCTCACTTAGATCTCAGTCTTTAGCATAGAAATCTAGCTGTTAATTTTAATTTTTCTCATACAAATTTAATCAACTTTATTTCCTTCTCCAGCCTCACCCTGCAGCTATTTTTTATATTCCTTCTGTAAATCTATCTTATTATGGTTTTGAAACATAAATACTGAAGGAATAATACCCAGGTATTGTTGTTGGACTCCAATTACGTTTTTAAAATCTAGTGTTTGGAGCGTTGTTTTGGTGGTGATTTCCATTGTCCGGAACCACACCCAGAATAGGGAGCACCGGCTTACAAAAGTGCTTTGAACTACGGCCCAAAATGGAACATCCCTTAAAAAACCTATCTTAATACGGTAGGTGGGGCGCTCGCTACCCCAGGATGTCGCTCTGTAGGGTAACTCCGTAGCTCCAGACAGACCTACACTTGACTGCCGTAGTAATTTAGGACTCGCTGGCCTTTCCAACCTCGGACATCTCCACCGCTATCATCCCACCACCATCACCCGATCATCACCACCACCACCACCACCACCACCACACCTGGTCTATATCCACAAGATCAACCATAGATATCAAGACTTTATAACCTGTTATCAGCAGCAACCTAGACACTGTACAGAAGAATGGTTCCACAGCCCAGACTTTGGTCACAAAGTCCTGCGTCACTCAGCTCTGTTTTTCGGTCCTAAACGCCCATGATCACCCCTTCATTGTTGTTGGAAAATATGCATTAAGGTGGATGGGAGTTAATGTTTACAACGGATATGTATCTACAACCCACCTTCCCTCATAATAACCCACTTCCCATGGCTAACCTCATCATGTTAGACTATTGATATTCTTGTGCGAACACCTCAACTAGAATGCATCTACCGAGCCTTCATCCAAACTGGTGAGTGGCTGGAGGTCGACGAGTCTGACATACCGGAAAAGAATTTGGAATTCCACTGTATTGACCACCGGTCTGTCCGGAAGTTGAAGAGGTACGATGATAAGTGGTTCCTTAGCCTCTGCGATGAGGACTCCTGCCACATTCCTGTCCGCACACAAAAAGTCCAAGTCCCACATGTAGTTACCTACAATTGTGTATTGGTGGAGTCAGAATTTCATCCTAACAGCTCAGATCGCAGAGTCAGGCCCTACCTTCTCACTGATGACAACATCAAGTTTGTTGGTGACCCGCCCATCACGTTCCCCGTCTTCATACCAACCATCCCACAGTTTCTAGACTCCTGTCTTGAGTGCATTCGGGGTAAGAGATCCCGACTGGACCGGTCCTGTGCTCTGCCTGAGATTGACATGGACAATTTGGCGCGGTATCTGGTTCTTGATTTGCCTAGTCAGCAAGACAAGCTTCTGTCCAAAGTCACGAACTTCAACGCTTTGGCAGAGTATTTTGCGGAGCGGCAGCGGGTCCAATAGAGCAGAGTAAAGAGGATTATGGAGAGACGAAGGGAATATCGAGAGAAATATCCGGCCAGGGCAACGACGCTGCTTGATGATCGGTGGAACCTACCACCACTGTGAGATGTGATTAGGGACAATGGTTGGAATTACCAGAAAGTTCTGGTTTGCTGATAATGGCTGCTGGTATTTAATGAAATTTGAGGGAAGTTCCCGCTGGTTTCTGTCGCTTTGTTTTCACAATTTGCAGAAACTTGATTTCAAGTTTGTTTCACCTTTGGGTCGTGGAGGATGATAAGGACTCTAGACATTGGGGGCAACGTAAGAATATGCTAGGTTATCAGCATCTAGAATAATCAAACAAGACCTTTCAGAATGACCAGTGATGTCATGAAAATGCTAAGACATGAACTATGGGCCAGAAAATTACAGGAAAATGAATGCGAAGTAACTTAAAAGCAACTGTCACTCGTACGGGAAATCTCCCCTGCAAAACCTTTCAGGCGTGATACTAGTGAGCGTATATGAAAAAAGGTAATAATAAAAATAAAAATAAAAATAAAAAAAGTGTCTCAACCAGAGAAATAAAGGAGACAAACAAAGGAGAAAAATGATGAAAAAGCAGAAATTTCATATCATACCTAGGAGCCTTTTGGCCATCATCTGTAGCTACCAACTCTTCATCTGGAATATTACTAGGGCAGAGAATACACTATCGAACACACAAATAGTCAATGCCAGATTACTACATCAAAGTGAGCACAACAGCGAAAACCTACAGCTCAGGGGCAGCCTCTTTGCGCAACTTCTTAGCCTTGACAAGTCGCTCCTTTCCTTCTTCGAGCTTCCTTTTCTTGTGATTTTTGGTCTTCACTGGCTTCCATTCTATGCGCTCAGAGGAGGTTGGGAGTTCATCCACCTCCAGTTCATCCTCGTCTTCATCCTCGTCTTCATCCTCGTCCCCATCCTCGTAGTAATATCCGATTTCGTCATCCTCATCCCCAGTAGACTCCCCCCTCAACTCTCTCTCAATTTCATCCACATCAACCCAGACAGAATCTTTGATGCATTCGCATTTCCTCGCATTGGGTCCGAATTCTAGCCGGGCTTTAGTGGCGAAATTTACACTCTTAGCCCAATTGTACCCAATATTGTATCCAGAGTGATATCCAAAGGGGAACCTTACAACAAATTCGCCTTGATGGACTAATTTTTTGACTTTGATACCGTGACCGAGAAGCAAAGATGGAGAAGCGAGATGGCCCTTGTGACGAAAGAATTGTGAGCACATTTTTGAGTCGTTAAGCCAGATACCTATAGCACACTCGTGAGTTAGATTCAAGAGCCAATGGAGGGGGAAAGGAGAAAAACTTGCCCCTCATTACTTGCTCAACTTTGGGTTTATCCTCTCTTGAGATGGAGTACCATTGCTTAGGCGCTCCGAAGTGTATATAATTGATGTTGTAGAGATCCACATCCCAAGATAAAGAGAAGCAGTATTGACGCATTGGAGTTTCTTGCCCAAGCAATCAAGCAAGTTCTCGAGCTTGGCTACATTCCAGCTCGTGGTGGAGTTACCAAACAAACTCTCAGGCATATCTGCCTATTGCAGCGGATTACTGTACGTTGATGTAAGCCAATAGGCCTTCTCCAGCTCATCACACCGCTCCGGAGTATAGTCATCCGCATTATAGGTACGGAAGTCAAACCCACCAAATGCTTCGTCATCTGCAATCCCTTGCTCTGCCTCCCTGCCCTTTACAGTTTTCCTGATATATTTCTTCCTTTGACGAGGCTGGCGTCCACGAGAGTCAGTGACGGGGTCGGGAGTTGATTCGACTGTATCACTCATACCAGGTTGATGACCATGGGGACCGGTGATCGGCTCTGGCGTACCAAGATCCTCCTGCTTCGCCTTTTCCGGCAACTTAGGGGTCAGTGGATTTCGCTTCCTAGAACCCGCGACGGGTCCATTGACCTCCAAGTCATCAAGTGCAATAACGCCCTCTTGCCTGACCCCCACAGCGGCGGCCACGCGCTCTTCCTGGGTTTATTTTTCCTCCAAACGGTGCCCTCGTTGATGGCTTGACCCTTCCTTCTCTGTCCATGTTTCGCGGGGAGCTGGCGTTCGCTACTTTCGCAGACTTGGCGTCATTGGGGAAGATTGTAGGTCCGCTGCTTCTCTATGCTCTCCTGTCTATACTCCCCCGCTACACCGGCCAGGTGCTGGATAACAGGGTTCTTAACCGGGATGCCCTTCAATTTGCCTTTGAGAGAGGTTAAACTGTCGGTCTTAGAGAACGGTCAGCACCAACAGTAACACTAAAAGAGCATCACCGCATCAGCGCACAATGATCGCATAGTAAAATCGCGAATGGGACGCAATTAACACACGGTAGATGGAGCGACCAACTCACCATTCTTTTGCAGCAACGACCCTGATGGTGCTCGAGACTACACCCCGTAATGATTGAGCCTATCGACGAAGTGTGACGAAGTGTTTAAAAGAGCAGAACTGATCCATTGTCTGTTCACGACGTCAGTTTTCTGGACCACCACATCAATAGCTCCCTGCATTCACTAGCAAAAGATCCCTCCCCTCAATCCTATTGGCACCCCCCCCCCTCCCCCCCCCTCCTCCCAAAAGACTCATCCCCGAAAAGCAAAAGTAGAGCTCCATTCCTAAGCAACAGAAACCCCCTCGAAGAACATTGAAAGGAATCGCTCTCGAACTGGTAAACTTACAGGTTCAAACACGGTGATACCCATATTCTCGCGATAATACGAGGGGTAATCTCCTTATCCTTCTCTTCAGGAAACACTTTGAATTGTTCGTCATCGTTGGACTGCCGTTTCTCGACGACAACCCCGAACTGGGACCCCTCCCCACTGGTCTTGACCGGGTCCATGACAGCAGCCGCCACCGTGACGGCAGTGACCGGAGATTTTGCCAACTGAGCAAACTCGAGGGGTGGACGAAAGGGTTGGTGTGAGATCGCTTGATGGATTGACCTTGGAATTTCAGTGGCTTCCTCTTTCCTATTTTTTTCGTCCTCCCCCTTCTTCTTCCTCTTCCTCTTCCTCTTTTCCCCTTTGCCAAACCAACTATCAGCTATGCAGTGGTCAGACAGGAAGTTTGTTGGTGGGTAGGGATCAGGCGAATGGTGGGAGAGAGAGCGCGGGGCACACGCCACGATATGATAGATTCAATCGGTATATGATACAAGTACCCTAACTCGCACGGTACAGTACCGTACGCGTATGATATGATAGGTGTGAGATATGAGTATGTGTGAGCCAAGAGCATAATAACTATGCATACCACAGGACAGTATCATTATAGACACTCTCACTAATACAGCAGAACCTCGTACTAGTACGGTACAGTATCGCCACTTGTCTACCGTGTCATAGTTTGCGTACCGTCTGATACAAGAGCGGTTGGTGCGGTACTCGTTTGTTTATCGTAAATGTGCCCTTGCCTCCTGTTCCAGTTTATATCAAGATCTGCATGACTGAGGGATAAGTATAAACTATTCACATTTGACATTCCTACAAGCAGGCATTGAAAGTCCAGGGAGCCGGACTAAACAAAATAACTCCAGCACAATCCCAATAAAACGGGAATAAAAAAATACAGCCCGCCTCCATCACAGGTTTTGAATAACTCAAACTCACCACAATACCCCCCCCCCCATCCAATACCCGTCCACGAAAACATTCAGTCTTACTCGTCATAGTGCTCGAATCATGCGAGCCAACCGCCTTCCTGTTTCTTCCAGTCCCAATTCCACCAATATTTCCACTAACTTCTCTCTTCCATCATCCCCCAGACCCCCGGAATCCATTCTCTTTTCAACCATTTCCTGAACGACGTACTGTAACCCTTGGAAATCTTTCGTCTTCCCACGCTCTACCCATGCTGACCCTTTCGCAATGGCAAGATCCGCTAAGGTTGCAACCGGCAAGCCACTCAGGAGGGTGTACTCCTTCAATCTATGTAGAGGTCCGTCGCCTCCATCCTTGTCGAGGAAGTCGAGCGGAACCACAATGTCGCTGGACGATTTGTATTCCCAATAACATCCCAATATGCAGCTGAACCGTTGGTCCAGCCTCGCAGCTTCTTCAAAGGCAGTTAAGGATTGCGCAGTAATTGCAAAATCGGCGTCCGACGTCCGGATATTTGCCCCGTGAAATAGCATGGCCGCACCGCCTACAAGAACAAAGTTCTGTATATGGCCCTCTCCAATTAGACTCCACACAGTCCGCGAGGCTTCGATAACAGCCAATTGCCCCCCGACAAGGACCCCTCCTAGCTCTTCGGCCTCATGCTGGAAGGTATCCCTACCGCTTGTCATCAGAGGAGGATGTTTATTTGGTGATAGTATGTACGACAATAATTAAATGGTAGAAGTGGTGGAATTTGAGGTTTTACAGCATCCTATGCCACAGACCCTACCAACTGTAATCAATTACGTTAGAAAGTAAGGATTTGCATTCATTGGTGACTTACAATTACAAGGCTAAAAATCCCCGAGCACCCAGCAGCCATGAGCCGCTTCACATACCGAACGTGACTCCGCAGATCCTTAGTGCTCATCCGAAACTCAGTATTCGAAACTGCAAGGTCCTATTACAGTGTCAGTAGGTTGCGCTCTGCACATAAGCCAAGGTGACCTATCTCCGGCCGGCAAGCAGTGTTCTCAGCCGTCCAGGCCCCCCCCGTAGGGCCCGGCGGGGGGACTGCCAAGACCCCCGGACGAGACGGGACCGCAAAATGTAGTCTGTCCTCGTCTTGGAACCCCCAGGACGACCGTCATTAGCAAGGACGACGAGCCCCACAGCCTTAGACAACTTCTGGTAGGTGCCGGTAGAGGACGGTGGGGGACGGTGAGGGACGGTAGGGGACGGCAGGGGACGGTTGGGGACGGTGGGAACGGCGGGGGCTGCGGGGGACGGTAGGGGACGGTTGGGGACGGTGGGGACGGCGGGGGCTGCGGGGGACGGTAGGGGACGGTAAGGACGGCGGGGGACGTTAGAGGACCGTAAGACAATGGTCCATCTCTCTAACTTGTCGGGCAAGTTCAGGAAAAGGCGAGACGAGATGACACCATGTCGTCCGTCTTCGTCTTTCATTCTTGCTTGTCGGGCATGTTGACAAAATGACTGGACGGGACGACAAAATGTCGTCCGTCCTGGTCCTGGATCAGGACGGACGGACTGCCCCGTTGCGAACACTGCCGGCAAGGCATTGAAATTTCGTGCCACCCCTATTACTTGTAGGGTTGGAGACATAGATGACTAAGGGGCCGTAAACAATTCCAAAAGGTCCGAGGTGCTTTGAAGCACAGACAAGTATCATACCGGTAACAGACAATACGCAGCAACCACAGCAATCACCTTCAACCACAAGCACTACAACCATCACCGACTCACAACCTTAATGATGTCCAACCAAACAGAAAAAGCTGAAGCAGATGTGAAGTCTGAGGCGGAGAGTGAGTAATAAAGTATAAAGAATAGGGTTCTGAGTTATTTCTGATACTCTTTATGTAAAATCTTATCAAGTCTCCTTGTGCTGTCCATATTGACAAAAGGGTCAGTGTTTCGATTCTGGTACCGCCCAGACTTTTTTCCCTTTTGGCAAGTATTCCTCAGTGATCCCAGCGTAAGCATTGTCATGTGGCTAATATTAACTTAGCTGTGTTCTGAAGTCGACACATGTGCAAAACCCTAGTCGTTAACAGTGTTCCCAACCGTCCCGGGCGCCCTACAGGGCCCTGGCGGGCTTGCAGTACCGGGCGTCCCGGGCAGGATGGGTAAGGACGGCAGGGCATCGCGTCCGTCTTTGATAAAGACCGCCGTCCGAGGGGTTGACGCCCGGGCCCTGGAGTCTTAATACAAATGGCATCTTCCGGGCATCCTCACCGGGGACCGGCCGTCATTAGCAGAGCCCGACCGTCATTCGCAGGGCCCGGCCATCATTCGTAGGGCCCGGCCGTCATCTGCAGGGCCCGACCGTCATTCGCAGGGCCCGGCCGTCATTCGCAGGGCCCGGCCGTCATCTGCAGGGCCCGGCCGTCATCTGCAGGGCCCGACCGTCATTC